GTACTGATGATATTAATCTGTAAATAACCCAGTTTGTTCCCCCGAAACACTTTCAGAATCGATCAAAGTGACTGAAATTCCTTTTCGCGAGCATAACCTTTTTCTAGGGTGCTGATCGTTGAACAGAGATGATTTCGGCTGCTCGAGAGGTGACTGACAGTCTGTGAGGTTTGCTGTCTATTAAGTCTAGTATTGCCGTGACGCTTGCCCAAACACAAAGAAATTAAGATGATTTTCGGGCTATAATTGAACCAGGTTAGAACTCTATTAGTCTGTTATTCCCCTCTTTTTATTGTATTTGAGTGATTAAATCATTTATATAGAAAACGTGAACAAAAATTTGCCATCCTCATATTGTACTGATGCCCATGGTTTCGAGGGACATGGTTCGTAACGATAATGTCTTGTATTAGAATGAAGAAGTAAAGGATTGTTGTAAAATCCTCACCCCTACAAAGCCAGATTGGTAGGTCTATCCGCCAAAACCACAACTATCGCCCTTCATGCCTATTATACCGGTCAACTAGACCACACTGAAAAGCTGAGATAAACTGAAGACAGGCATTATAACACTGTTAGTAACATCTTTGGTTATCACTAGGGGGCAGATGTGGTGATTGCGTCAAGATTGTCATCAAAGAACCAATCCTGGTTTCAAGAGTGCAAAACTTGTAGAATAAAACTTGTCATAATAAAACATGCAATATTCTTAAAGAGTATAGCCTTGTTATCTTGCCCTGGGATTTGGTCTTATTTGTTGGCGTGCAAGACCTAACAGAGTCCTGCGTGGAGTTCATTACGCTCATTTATCACAAGGAAATCATGTATCAGTTGAAGAAATTTAAAGTTTTGTTCGTGAAAGCGATATCGGTAACTTTTAGACGTATATATAGCGATAAATGCCTTTCGGTCACTATTGTTCATTGCTTATTTATTCAGTCTGGTCTTTAAACTTTCTTTGTGGTGAGCGACGAATATTGAGTAATGTAACAATGCAATTATTGGATTCTTCGAATAAGTAATCCTAATTATAGAAAATTAAGCGTAGGCAGCTGTAGGAATTGTTCATCGTCGTGCTGTTCCTATTATGCGAGATGGTTTTCTCTCACTAAATTGTACGAACGAACTGTGATAATGGATGGAACAACAAAATGTCGACATAGGGCTTAGTCTAAGAGCATCGTTAGCCGACCTTTGTGGTTTTTGACGTTTTACAAAACGAACCTTAGAGCTTGTTTTAAATTCCCATTTATTTACCTCTGTAAAAAGTGATAATGACTTTGGCAGAGGTGATTTGAGACATACTTACATATCGTAAAACAGAGCTGTTTCTTTGTTATTCTAGTGCCAAGATACCGAGTTAACTTCAGAAAATGTAGGGGAAAAAAGCCGAATACTTAATTTTCGTAGGAGGGCCAAGAAAACATAATCCTACACTTGAAACAGTTCCTTGGACAGTGTAATATGATGAATAGAGAAGAAAATTCCAGTTCTGATCTGTAAAAGACCATTTCCCTGTCTTTTAACTATGTGTAAGCTCCCAAACAGCTATATGAGGTAGAAACTTTAGAAAAATTCCTTGGGCTTGACTTGATGAAAATCTTCTATAGGGCTCTTGCTCCTCCTGATCTCAATCAGTAATAAAGGTATTACGTATTGCTGTAATCCGCATGAGGGGGGGGCAACACCTTCCTTAAGGTCCCACCCGCACACAGGACTTACAAAGATTGATACGATCTGTTTGCTTTATAAACCGCCTGTTCTCTAACAACAAATATAACAAGGTCTGGTTTAAAGTGGCTACTTCGGTTTGAAATAGCTTGAGATTTTCTCATTTGTTTAAGTCAAAGATCAGCGTTGAATTTGTTAATGATTCGTACTGCCAGTTCCCATTGCTCTCCCCAGGGGTCGAACTGAGACATGTGTATGAAGTAGGTTGAAAGATTATAGGATCAACCTATTATGTATGTCTCGCCTCTCACAGCTTGATTTTTTAAACGTGGACAGACTGCAGGTCTTGCATAGAAGGAGTGGTTGGAGATCTCTCCCCCGTAGAGGCTCCCGCTGGGTATCCCAATAAAAATAGCAATAATCGAAAAAAATAGAAGGCGCGGGGGACGGGGCCTCTCTTCTCTCTTTCCCCTTCCCATCGCGCCCAGCGCACTCTCCATTCTTTCTCCCGAGCCTCCCTACAACACAAAGAAGCCTCTACGGAGGAGAGAGGTTGGAGTTTGGTTTCTCTAAGAGGCTATGTCACGAGGCAGGAGCCCATAACTGGAAGCGAACAAGTCCCATGCGTTATAGGCTCTTGACGAGAATATTGCTCTTAAGGTCAATTTTGTACTTAAGTCACTAATTTGTGTTTTAATTTTACCCATACAAAAAATGCTCCTGTAGAGTTATGAAGAAGATAACCAAAGAATTTCATTTTATGGCATGTAGCACTAACACATAACAGGCACTTAATCGTTTTTGCAGGCAAAGCGTTATCCATGTTAGCAGCCGATTACTAATTATTAGTTTTATTATACATTATACTCACTATCTGTCCTCTCAATGGCTAATAGCCTACACCGAATTTTGGAAATCAGCGCAACCTACAGATTGGTTGGTTATCTTCTAGCAGATAACTGACTAATCTGTTGGTTGTCCGCGCAATGCATGATTTCCAGTAACAATATCAATTTGGGTTCCTTGTGACGGTGTGTTTGTCGTTATTTTCTTCAAAACAATGTATAATAAAACAATCAGGAGACTCGGTTTTTGTGATATCCTAAATAATCAAGGTCTCGAGTAGTATAGTACTTAGGCGAGTCACCGCAGTTTTTGTGCTCATAATTCTGCGTTCGTTGACCGAATGACGGAACGGGGGCTTGAACACAATATAAATAAATGTGAGATCAGATTTTCGAACAACTAAATCAACATGGTTTTTATTGGCTACATCAAGTCCAATTTGAGGATTACTATTTAAATTATTTATTCTATTATTTCTCATATTTAAATTCCCAGTCATAGGTAACGACCCCGCGCGGTCTAGAAAAACATTAGGAAGACTGTCCATTAATGTCAAAACATAATCTTTTGAGGTAGCTTCATCACCTGATTGTTGTTGGTAAACCTTTTATTCTAGAATTATTCATTTGTAAATCTCCTGTCATATTACAACTACTCATCTCTTTTCATATAATTATCAAGTTCCGTTTTACTAGCTTTGTAAAGAACTTGTCTTGAAACATTTTCAAACTGAGTACTATTTACTTTTTTTGATAATACACTACCAACATACTGATTATAAGCTGATTGATCATTGTTTATTGGAGTCTTAACATTGTAAATATAATTGTTTTCCATATCTCACTGATATCTAAATGAGTTTCTATTGGAAAAACAGACTGCTTACAACTTACCAATACATCACAAACAGCTTCATAACAAACTAGAGTCTTTCAATTTGTATTTATTTCATTGAAGATTTGTTGTTTGCTGTTGATGAAATTGTAAGCGTCCTTAGGATCAATATCTTGATCATTCAGTCATGTTTATAAATCATTGCTGTATCAAGTTGATGTTTTGTTATTGCATCATTGGAAAAAGTTCCTTCTGTCAGTAACATTTGTTAGTTTTTTAGAAGAGAGAATGATCTACATTCTTTCTTGTTTTTATCATTCAAGTCATAATTCCCATCCTGTGTTGAATTAAAACCTATACCAGGTGGTCCTTGTATTCCTTTTCCAAATGATTGACGAGCAGATGGATCATTAAAATACCCATGTTATATTATTACATTATACGTTTCCTTAAAAGGTTCGTTTTACTCTTTTCATAGGTTTGTCAATACAAAAAAATGAATGTGGTTTTTTGGTGTCTCTAATATATTGGTAACAGCTAATTCATTGCAAATCGTTGATATTTCATTTTTATTTGGACGTTCATATAATATATAATGGGCACAATTTAATCTGGTATCTTTTGGTGTTGAATAATGACTCTGACTAAGATAAAAAAAAACCGAACAATTCTTATTTCGCCCTTGCATGAAATAATCAACAAGTTTTTTTTGATTTTTTTCACAAACAAAATCATCGAATATTACAATAGTTTGAGAATCAGGATCAAAACGTCTAGTGACAGGTGTTATCTCGTCGTTACTATAAGATATTATATCATAACCAACCTCATTACTAAAATCATTAAATTCTTTTATCATGTGTCTGTACTTTTCTTGCTCAAGGTTTCTGCCATATAAATGGATCTGGTCATAGTAAACTAATGGTTTGATCAAAATATGATACAAGAGGTTTGTTTTGCCAGATCCAGAATTTCCACATATAAGCATTCTGAATGTAGATTTAGGCATATATGGATAAAGCTGTTTGAAGTTTGTATATTCATCTTCATTGAAATCATAATTTGGAATTTCCCTTACACTACTGTGTTGGATAATTTGAGATAAGTCAAGATAAGTTAATATAACATATTATATAATGAATATTACAAGATTGAAACAGCTTAGTATTCCCAAAATTGCAATTGAAGCGGGAAAAATGACTGAAGTTGTTGTTAGGGATGTTATAAAAGGAGTTCAAACTTCTAAGCAAGATGTGTACGAACAAAAGAAGGAAGAATTTAAGCCAATAAGGGAGGAAATACAAAAGGTAGTTGAAGAAGTCAGTGAATTGAGAAAAGATATTGCAAATCAAATTATACCATATTCTGAGCAAGTTCAAAGATTAGCATTAAAAGGTTCCAGTTGTGAGGCATCCAAAATGATCTTTAATATGAATAAAGGGTTCACTCCAGACGAATTAACAATCATACAAAATAAGGATTCACCACTAACAGGTGATGTTTTTTTGCAAACCTTAAAAGAGCCAAATTATGCAAGTGAAACATCGAATAAAGTTGGTGAAATAAATAAGGACTTAGGAACTACAACAAAAAATAATTGAAAGGAAAATAAGGATCAGATTGCTAAATATGAAAAAGAAATTGATGTCATGAGAAAATACAGAAAAAGAATAGATATTTTGGAAGAAGGTACAAACCGCTGCAAGAGGGTACAAAAACACTGCAAGTGGGTGAGGGTATTTATTATTCATTCAAAATATATCTCCGTTTTTGATTGGCTAAAAGCACACGCATAATTCACCATAGCCAGCCACTGTTGACCAAATTTGGAAGAATTTTGCGATTGATCAACCGATGACGTCAAAAGTGCAGCACAGTTGCAGGTTAATTCACTGTTAACCGAGAAGAAGACCTGGGGACGAGGTTGAGTTGTTTTGGTTGTAAAAACAAAAATGGTGGACGTTTCACCCGTTGAAAGAGTAAGAACTAGTCGAAATAGTAGCTAAAAACATGGCAAGAACAGCAACAGGACAACTCGGAGGGCGACATCTGCTATTTGGAGAATATTTGCGGAGCGGAATAACCCTAAACGTGCACTATCGAAGATGAACTTAACATCGATGGGGGTAAGCATGTTTTAGCAGGTTTTAGCTATGTTTTTATTATTTTGAATGTGAAGAATTATGGAGATCTCGGAGGGTGTTATCCGCCGAGGCCTTAGGTCGAGGCCTCATTCATTAGTTGTTAAATATACAAAGGAATGCGTATAAAATTAACCCACAAACAGGTGTTTATGGAAATGTAATTATTGATGTGCCTAAACTTTATGGACGACTCAAACTAATTCAGACTAATTGCTTATGAAGATGGTAAAAGGTCTATGATAAACAGGTGGCCTTAGTACTATAGACCTATTAACAAAGAGGTTTAACAGTAAAAAGAAATATTTACCATTATCAAAAATGGTATTTGAAGAATTAATCAGAATAAGTGATATTCCAATTAATCGGAGCAGTAAGAATTGGGTCTGTTTTAGTTTATTATAATAATGCAGCAGACTTTTTAGATAGATTGGAACTGTTAGGTGGATTGATACTGGCTGGAAATAATGGTGCCAAAAATGAATTCTCACAAATTGTTCACACATTGAAGGAATATATAATCTGATAATATAAAACATGAAAGAACGAGCAATCAATATTTCATCCGTTAATAGACAGAAAATTGGAAAAAGTAAAGCAGTCAGGATTTTGTAATCAAATTCAATCCGATTTTAAAACTGGAAAATGATATGAACATGAAATATCAATGGATAAGGTTAGTATGACTTACGGTTGGCATAACATTTCAGATCAGTATAGAAATAATAAAATAAAGTACAGCCAAGACAATGGTCAAAGTTGGGAGCTAATGTTTTAGATGGTATGTATTCTTATTCAGACTTGAATTCTTATATTCATAAATACATGTATCAGCAAACTCATAGAACTGGAAAAAATATCAAATTAATCTGTCATTTGCATTATCAACTTGTAGGATAGTAATTGAGATAGGCAGCAATTATCAGTTAGATCTTAGAGATAGTGAATTTGGTTATTTTAAAATTGGATTCGATAAGAAAATTTTGAATAAAACAGAATATGGAAGTAGGCTACCAAATACTGTCACAAATTCCATAGACATGATCCATATAAATGCAGATACAATGACAAATTCTATTTTAAACGGTGTCAATACAAATACAATATGCACATGTGAGCATGAATTTTGTTTTTTTTTTGGTATTAATTAATCATGGAATAAGACAAAAACCCAATGTCCTATATGTAGAAAAGATCTTCGATTTTAAAAGTATTGTTAAGTAAATTGAACGCACACATACAAAAAGAATCTGTTATAATAGTATAAATGAAATTTACTGATTTGGATGTTGAATTTTGTTCAAGTGCAGTTACTATACATATTACAGACGATGTATGTTGTGATTTTGAGATTATAGATGGAATGATAGAAGGAACATATCCCGAAGTTGATAGTGTGGTTAGTCATTGTGATGTAAATATTAATACCAAATACGTTTTTGTTATGGTGTACAAAAAAAGATGTGGTTTATATTGAGTTTATCATAGACTGCGTAGCAGGCATTGACAGGGGTAGGGGATAGGGAGGAAGGAAAAAAGGGAGGGGGATTGGGAAGAGTTAGGGTTAGGGTTAGGTGTAGGTTTCGCACTTTTCTCCCTCTCCCCTCCCCCTCACCTTTTTGCGCCTGCCACGCAGGCTAAGTTTATCACGTATATTGAGAAAAATCGTACCATAAAATCCAAACTCTTTTACCTTTCCCCCTCTTTTGCTTCTCCCAAACCCAAAGTTTATCTTAATAAGGCAAGAACCCCCAACCTCACATAAATTCCCGCATCCCCCACCCATTTACCCCTATTCCAACTCTCAACATAGAGGATAGTGCAAAGATCAATGAATTATATAAATACAAGAGAGAATGATCTAATGATAATGAATGATACCAATCCACACTCCCCCAACACCTTCCAACCATACACGAATGTCTTCTAGAATAACATGATTATATAACTCTCGGTTATGTTTTTGCGACTGTAAAGTGGCCAAAAACAAAATGCTTAAAAATTAAAATAATATATATAATTTTAAATGGGAAGATCTAAAAAATATCTCACTGAAGCAGAGCGAATTGAAGGTTATAGAAGAGTCAGACAAAAATGTTTGAGAGAAAAGGAATCATTATGGTGTTGTGAATCATGTGGTGGTGATAAAAAACTACACATTACAAGCTAACTGGTTGCCTCCTACTAGTTGGGGTTTTTAATCCTCATGTTGTGTTTGAATTATTTTGTTTCTAACTATTTGTGGAGTGCTTATAAACTAGCTGGATAAGCAATCAAGGAATTTGTTCTTCAAGTAAATAAATCAATAAGCATGCTAGACGCTTGGTCTAAGGAAACTATACTAAGATTTCAAAAACCATGTGGACTGTCCACTTTAGGGACGATTCAGGACGCCCTCAACTTATATTGTGATCTTTTTTTAGAAACGCCGGGCAACGATATCAACTGGACCATGTTGTATCCTCTGTGCGCAAGGATTGTCGTTCTAGTCGTGGTACTTGTCCTGAAAGTTTGTGGAATTTCACTTGACGTCTCCAGCATGGAAGACACGATAAGGAAAACCGAGGAAGCAATGAGGGGATCTTCAAAGTTTGAGAACGGGGTGCAAGTGTTCTTAGAGAGTTGGAGGGACGCTGAAGACTCCAACATGGAAAAGGCTGAAGCTATCTTCGACCTCCTACGCGTGACTCACGGCGCTGGATTTCTGTGGATGATCATCAAGTCTTTGTGCAGTGACATGGCAATGTGGAGGTGGATTAAAACAGCTGCCGTGGTGAGCGCAATGATCATCGCAGCTTTTGCATCAGGGGGAGTGGCGTTGATAGCGCTGATCGCTGTAGCAGTAGGGGCTGCCATTGAATTGACCGCGGATATAAAGGAAGCGTTAAAGCATTTATAAATACAGCAACTTCCCATGACAGAAGCCAAAAGCAATGGCTTATTATCTAATCTGTAAACCCATTTCTAATTCCCCTTTGATAACGCGTCTTTTTCTCAGTAGACCAGACTAGCACTAGACGCAAGTAAACTACAGTCCGGATTTACCGCGAGCAAATGAAAGTAAAAGCAAGTAGTTTAGAGGGCCGGGCTCCCTTCTAACATAAGACACCTTATATTGGAATAAGGGCATTATTAATAGCGCAGTAGAAATTGTTAGACTGGAATGGGAAAACACTGACCGTTTTAATAGTGAGCGATGAAATTTTGAGGTTAACAACAGATTTCACTGGAAAAATATTCGTATCGTAAACTCAACGGGACAAATATTTAGCTCAATTTAAACACTTAGTATCATATGAGCAAGTGATGAATCTAAACAGCAGACGCAAGTATCACACAGTAGCGAGGAAGCTGCTATAGCTTTGAAAATGCATAGGAGAAATGTTATGTTCCGAGAATACTGAGAAGTGACGAATATTTTTTATCACTTAAGTGCCAGTCACAAAGCAACCTTTATCATCGTATTTTTCACTGTTGTACTTAGTTATTAAATAAAATTAAACTAAAAATAGTCACCTTTTTTCTTTGTACCGTAGTGTTCGGTACCGTAACTGTGCGTGCGGCCCCCCAAAACGTTCATAACTGCTTGCGCAGCGAGTTTCGATCCCAGACTACAACTCTTTTTCAAGTAAAGGAACCTAATGGAACTAAATAGTCATTCAAAAATATTTCTCGATTTCTTATTGGCTCAAAATCAAATTTGGAAGATGTTTGCGATATACGGTAAAATGACCTCAACATCAGTGCTGAATATAACGACAGAGAAAAGGTTAAGCAACCAAGAAAACCCGGGGACTAAGTTGCGTTTAAAGCTCAGTTTAAAGCTTTAACCGTTTAGAGGTGGAGAAAATGGTAGAAAATTTCACGGGACGAAAAAATGGATTTGCACAAATTTGCTCCTTGCAAATATGTCGCAAATATATATATACTGACGAGTAAAATTATTATATGACGAACATGGTAAATGCCTCAGTTGCCTTGTTATTTACACCCCATGTTTTTTGATATGTAAATGTGGCATTTACCATGTTTGCCATATATTAATTTTACTCCTCAGCAGTAGTCATAGAGGGATGAAATTAATCCTCGTTGGTGGATTCCCTTTGGATTCCCTCGCAAAAAAGTGGATTCCCTTCATTACATATGCAGGATTTCCTCGCAAAAAAGTGGATTAATTAAGTGCCTAGTCAGTGTCTTCCTGCATACTAAGGGACTGTTTACATGGAGGTGGGGACCCCAGGTAGGCGAGGTAACCGGCTTAGGTGGGGTAACCCGCCTGTCCATATACTCACTCATTTTAATTTGATCACGTTTACATGTTAGGTGGGGTGACCCGCCACATGTTACCTCACCTATCTGGGGTCCGCCACCACCATGTAAACAGGTCCTAATTCGGTGTAGGTTTACAAATGAGCGTCTCTCTTAGTCTATAGGAACAGTAGGCTTGTCCAGGCTTGCCCGGTCTCTTTTATACCTGATTGGCTCATATAGAATCTATTATGTCTTAAAAATAAAAGTGCGCTCTCAGTTGAGCATTTTATTCTTAAAAGTTCAGTTTGCTATGGAAAAAATTCTTACTATCACCAATATTCTTTAAAACATTGCTTCAAACATACAAGTCGAATCGAGCGTTACACCTCTATTGACGATTGACGAAGTGGAAAAAGTCCAGCTACCAAGGATAGCCAGTTTTACTGGACATGTATTCCAACTGACTTCATATGCGGTTTTGGTTGACAAACGCATCCAACAAGAAAAGCTGAATCACTGCCATGGGCTGAAAACTCTTTATTCAAGACCCTGTTTTACTATTTCACGGTAAAACTGTGGTGCACGCTTCCACATTCATACGTCTCGACATAAATTTTAAGAAACTTTGTAAACAGCACTAATTTTGCCATCGGCAATAGGGACCTTGAGCAAAGAGGACATCAAAAAAACCAATAGGTTAACATAAGCAAAACAACAATTCTCCACGTGGTAACGCTTTTTTTGGACATTTCTTTACCGTCACTGTTCTACTTCGACATGAAAATGTGTTATTTCATGTAGTTATGGAGGACGCAATGAAGCGACCAAGGAATTTTACTCTCTCTCTGAGCCTGAATATGGTTCTTAGGAATTAAATTCAAGGCGATTTCGCCTGCATTTGACAAAGTAAGTGATTCGGAATAAAGTCGATTACGTTTGAATAAATATATAACGCGAATTCACTTTTTAAGCGACGTTTTCGCCGCCGTCGCTTTCCTCAGTTTTTAAAAGGTCTCTAATGTTTTGCCAGTAACCTCACCTTCACGGAAACGAGGCTTTTGCGTGACTTGGCCCCAGTAAAGAGTTAATAAGCTGAAACTGATTTATCAGTTCTACTACTTAATATGTTCATGTTTTTCATTGTACACCAATCTAAGGGGCTCAAAGTAGATAATAATTGCTATACGTGTTGACAGAATTGCAAATCAACTTCATAAGTAGTTCTTGCTGGATTAATATTCGGTAACTTCTTGAAGCCGCCTAACTATTATTTTGTATTTGTTGATATAACTCGTTCCAGGTGAATCTTTTGGCTTTTGTTTTGTTTTTTGTTTTTTTTTTCTATTGAAGCAGCAAATTTCCTGATCTACCTGCCCTAAATGATAGATATCAGGATATTTCAATTGGCTGTATTTAGCGGCTGCTTTATAAATTTCCGAGAATACATGTCACATTTCGTATTCTTTATAGCGAACAGAATGTGCAACTCTCGCGAGTAACCACCGATCAAACTGGAAAAAGACAAAGTTTTTTGTCAGATCGAGAAGGTAATATTGATATGTTTTTTGGGGTAAAATTTCATTTCAAATTATAGTTAAAAAGAATTAAGCCTTTATCACGCTACATACAAAACTGCATAGGCCTCAGTGACTTTTAAATCCTTAACAAGGAAATTATTTATCATTTAGAATAGATTTTGAGTACATGTATTCATAAAAGACTAGTTAATAACCAACGTACTTAAGTTTTTCTTTTTTTCATGGAAAATCGTATCTGGTATTCAGCAAAGTTAATTTTCTCTGACTTACTGACGAGGGTTTAAAAGACTTTTACGAGTGTGTTTGAATTTTGTTGATATATACTAAAACAGTGGATAGTGTTTTTCGGGCGCTCTGATCGGCTACTCAATCAGTGAATATCCTGCACTATTCACTGATTCACCTCCAGTTCCTCCGAGCGAGCGACGCCAAACTTGCGTAGGTTGCGAGGAAAATGCTTTCTCGGTTTGCTGCCGTAACAAACTAAGAAATTTCACAACTAATCAAGCAAGCTATTTCCGAAGTACATGAAGAAGGTGACGAAGTTCGGTTCGGAAGTTTTAACAGGTAAAGCTTAGTAGTGGATATTTACCTCGCCGCTTCGCGGCCTCGCTAAATATCCAATACTAGCCACCTCCACTTCGGTGAATAATTGTTATTTATCTCAGGTCTAATGTCATTCTGAACGTGTACAATAATTATAATCAGGCTACATCAGGAATACAGCGTGTATTTAAGAAGTCGAGGACAAAGATGACAGCTTGGGCCGGCATAAATATCCTCGCACGATTTTACTGAGTGGCAAACTCTCTTCCAAGGTTTACTTCAACTATTGATATAGGGCAGTAAGAGAATATCGATCGATATAGCTGGAAAGAGAGAATTAAAATCAAGTAAATTGCAACGTTTTTAAACGTTGTAAGTTACTTGAAAAAGGTAATTCGTCCAAAGTGAGCTAAGATATTAGTCCACAAAGTCGCGAAATTTTACAGACGTTTTTTTTTTGTATTGTGGGGGACACGAACTTGCCCACCACAATACAAACATCTGTAAAATTTCGTGACTCTGCGGAGCTATATCTTCGTTAGTTTGCAACAAATCACTTTCAAACTTGGCAACTTTACTGATTTTTAGACTTCCTTTCCAGTCGTGTTGCCGACGGATTTTTGCTAACTAGTCCCAGTCAAAAGCTGATATAATCGTGGAAGAGTCTACCCTTCCTTTTGATTGAAAATCATAAGCTGGCAGGGGAAAGATATTGCTCAGATGCAATATTGCTTTAATTATAAAGTCACACTTCAGGGCGCGGTTCTTCGAAAGATGGTTAAGTTAGACCCAGGATTAAGTCGAATTGTAACCACGGTTTTCTTCTCTAAGAACATGTAACTCGAAATTGCAAATACTGTTGAGCCTTTACTTCGAAAACAAAAGAAATGATAACACAGTCTGGTCCTTATATACTTTCTATGTGGTTAGAGACAAATATTGAGTAATGTTTATTGTAATAATCGAATTGTTGGATTCTTCGAATAAGTAAACCTAATTATGGAAAATTAAGCGTAGGCAGCTGTAGAGATTTTTCATCGTCGTGCTGTTCCTATTATCGACTTTTACGCGAGATGGTTTTCACTCACTAAATCAGTTGTACGGACGAACTTTGATATTTATGGATGGGGCGAGAAAATGTCACATGGGGCTTAGTCTAAGAGCATCGTTAGGCGACCTTGGGGTTTTCGACGTTCTACAAAACGAACCTTTTGGAGCTTGTATTGAATTCCTATTTATTTACATCTGTAAGCAAGTGATAATGTTTTTGACAGAGGTGATTTCAGACATACTTATCGTATAGCTGAGCAATTTCTTTATTATTCTAGTGCCGAGTGCGAGATAACCAGTTATTTTGAGAAAGTGTAGGGAAAGCGAGACCAAGGAAACTTTATCCTACACCTGAAACAGTTTCTGGGACACTGTAATATGATGAATAGAATAAAACCATTTCTGCATGAACTGTATGGGACCACTTACCTGTTTTTCAACTACGAATAGACTCTAAAAACAGCTGCACGAGGTATAAAGGAAAATTCCTTGGGTTTGACTTAATAATCACTGG